ATATCAGGAGCCAGCTCCATGGCCTCCGAATGAGGCTGACTCAACTGAAAGAAAAGAAGAACAAGCAGCGCCGGCCTCTGCTGGTCCTTCTCCGATGGCCGCACGCCTGAGAGGACGAAGGGACCAGCTGCATGCAGCGGATACAACCTCCTCGCAGGCATTCCCTCTTCGCACGGGAATGAACAGCCAACTGCAGTACTGGCCATTCTCCTCCTCAGACCTCTACAACTGGAAAAATAATAACCCTCCTTTTTCGGAGGACCCCTCTAGGTTGACTGCTCTGATTGAATCTATTTTGATTACCCATCAGCCTACATGGGACGACTGCCAACAGCTGCTGCAGGCCCTGCTGACTTCGGAGGAACGGCAGAGGGTCCTCCTGGAAGCCCGGAAGGAAGTCCGGGGACCTGATGGCCGCTCCACCCAATTGCCTAATGAAATAGATTCTGCCTTTCCCCTTGAATGCCCCTCTTGGGATTTCACCACGGTGGAAGGTAGGAATCACCTAGCCCTCTATCGCCAGTTGCTCATAGCGGGTCTCCACAGGGCGGCTCGACGCCCAACGAATTTGGCTCAGGTAAAGCAGGTTATACAGGGGTCAGAGGAAACTCCCTCTGCGTTCCTTGAGAGGCTCAAAGAGGCTTACTGCAGATATACTCCCTATGACCCTGACGACCCCGAACAGGAGACCAATATCTCCATGTCTTTTATTTGGCAGTCAGCTCCAGATATCAGACGCAAGCTGGAGCGTCTAGAGAACCTCAGGGAAAGCTCACTCAGGGATCTGCTAAAGGAAGCAGAAAAGATTTTCAATAAGAGGGAGACTCAGGAGGAGAGGGAGGACCGCCTAAGAAAAGAAGCTGAGGAGAGGGAAAAGGAAAGGGAAAAAGAGAGGGACCGCAAGAGACATAAGGAAATGAGTAAACTTTTGGCCACCGTAGTGTCAGGGCAAAGACAGGATAGACAGGGGGGAGACAGAAGAGGGCTACCCCTCGACAAGGACCAATGTGCCTACTGGAAAGAAAAGGGGTCTTGACCCAAAGGCTGGGGCCCTGGCGGCGGCCAATAGCCTATCCTTGCGGAAATGCCCGGGACCAGACCGGACCTGACGGATCAACCCCTCCGGGATGCGGATGTCACCTGGTACACTGACGGCAGCAGCTTTCTGCGGGAAGGTGAGCGAAAGGCGGGTGCAGCGGTAACCACGGAGACCGAGGTGATCTGGGCACAGCCTCTGCCTGCGGGGACTTCTGTGCAGCGAGCAGAGCTTGTCGCCTTGACACAAGCTTTGAGGATGGCAGAAGGTAAGAAGCTCAATGTCTATACTGACAGCCGATATGCTTTTACCACTGCTCATGTTCATGGGGAAATATACAGAAGAAGAGGGCTACTGACTTCAGAAGGAAAGGAAATTAAAAATAAAACAGAGATCTTAGCCTTGTTAAAAGCTTTATTTCTGCCTCGGAAACTGAGCATTATACATTGCCCAGGACACCAGAAAGGAGACAGCCCTGAGGCTCGAGGAAACCGGCTGGCTGATGAAGCCGCCAAACAGGTGGCCCTGCAGGCTCCGCTAGCCATACTGCCCATGCACCAAGATAAGAGAGACCCCCCTCAAATATGATGAGGAGGATCTAAAGCTCCTGGCAGACATGGGAGCGGAGCAGGACCAGAAAACGGGCGAATGGACATGGAAGGGAAAAACAGTGATGCCGATGGCATACACTTATAAGATGCTTGATTACTTACATAAATTGACCCATCTAAGCCCCCGAAAGATGAAAACTTTGTTAGACCGGCAGGAAACTTTTTGCTATTTACTAGGGCGAGACAGCATCCTCCAAAAAGTTATGGACAAATGTAGAGCATGTGCACAGGTAAATGCAGGAAAAACCAAAGTGGGACAGGGGGTGCGAATCCGTGGACATCGACCAGGAGTACAATGGGAAATTGACTTTACTGAAATAAAACCAGGCATGTATGGATACCGGTACTTATTGGTATTTGTGGACACCTTTTCGGGATGGGTGGAAGCCTTCCCGACCAAGCATGAGACAGCAAAAATTGTGACCAAAAAGCTGCTGGAAGAAATCTTCCCCAGGTATGGCATGCCCCAAGTGCTGGGCACTGATAATGGGCCCGCCTTCGTCTCCCAGGTAAGTCAGTTGGTGGCCAAGCTATTGGGGATTGATTGGAAATTACATTGTGCATACAGACCCCAGAGTTCAGGACAGGTAGAAAGAATGAATAGAACTATTAAGGAGACTTTGACCAAATTAACGCTTGCAACTGGCACTAGAGACTGGGTGCTCCTACTACCCCTAGCCCTCTACAGAGCTCGCAATACACCAGGACCCCACGGGCTCACACCTTTTGAAATACTATATGGGGCGCCCCCGCCCTTCATTAATTTCTTTGACTCCAACATTTCAGACTTTGCTAATAGCCCCTCTCTGGAAGCTCATTTACAGGCACTCCAGATCGTGCAGAGAGAGGTCTGGAAGCCACTTGCTGCAGCCTATAAGGAACAATTAGACAGACCAGCGGTACCTCACAGCTACCAGACTGGCGATACAGTTTGGGTCCGCAGACATCAGACTAAGAATCTGGAACCCCGCTGGAAAGGACCCTACACCGTGCTGCTAACCACTCCAACGGCACTGAAAGTTGACGGCATCGCGGCCTGGGTCCACGCCTCCCACGTAAAAGCAGCTCGTACGGAAGGAGATACAGCAGAACCGCTATGGAGGGTCCAGCGCTCTCAAAACCCTCTAAAGATAAGACTTACCCGGGGGCCCCATTGACTGGTTTATGGATCTTGTTGGGACTAGGGATGATAGTCCGGGGAGACAGCCCTCACCTGGTACGCTCCCTAAAATGGCAGGTATTGTCCTCGGTCGGAGAAGTTGTCTGGGAAATTCAGGCAAACCATGCTATAGACACCTGGTGGCCCCCACTTACCCCGGATTTCTGCCAGCTTGCAGCAGGATCAGAGATATGGGATATTCCTGATTTGCTACCTACACAGTTAAAGGACCGGGCAGGCAGCCGCTTTTCTCCTGGGGGAAAATTCGGCTTCGGAAGCCCTGAAGGAAGATGCTTCCTGGGGCAATTAGATTTCTGTGTCTGTCCCCGGGATGGGCGGGAGCGAGACCAGGTCCGATGCTGTGGAGGATGGGAAAGCTTATTCTGTAATGCCTGGGGATGTGAAACAACCGGGGATGCGTTTTGGAAGCCTAGCTCCTCATGGGCCCCCTAATCGTTATACTTTTAATCTTGCTTTTTGGGCCTTGTATCCTAAATCGCTTGGTCCAATTCATGAAGGACAGGCTGTCTGTCATCCAGGCTCTGGTCCTGACACAACAGTATCATCAGCTTAGACAGTTTGATCCCAAAGACATGGATACCACAGCTAAATGAATAAAGGGTTTTATTCAGTTGATAGAAAAAGGGGGGGATGAAAGACCCCCACAGTATAGACAAACAGCTAAGCAGCAGCAATGCCAGGCTTAAACTTTGGAGCAACACAAGTAACATTAGAGCAGGGAAGTTCGACTTGAGAACAAGGGCGGAGAAGCCAGGCAAGATATCTGCGGTCAGCCGGTCAGCCATCTGGCCCCAAGCGATAAGGAACCCGCAGCTGGCCTGCTCTAATGAGAACATCCCGTTTGCTTAGGGAAACAGGATGCCTATAGTCAGCACATGTGCCCAACTTAGAATATCAGTAAATTCACAGAAGAGACAACTCCCCCTATGAAAGATCCTAGCTTGGCTGCTGTAACGTCATTTCACAAAGCTTTTGACGAACGACTGTAAGTGCAGAGTAAGGTCAGGGTCCCTGGCTGCAAAACAGGATATTTATATCCATAGATTCGGACAGGACACCAATTAACAGGATATCTGTTCCCATACATCTGTGCTGGGAGAGGAAAAACCACCTGTGCCCCTTGCCCCATTCCAACTGACCACTAACGATGCATTTGCTTCTGTAATCTGCTTCTGCTGCCCTCTTTCCTATAAAAAGACCTTCCCCCAGTCTGCAGGCGTGCTTTGTCTTTTGAGAGACTAAGTCGCCCCAGGTACCTGTGTACTGAATAAAGCCTCTTGCTGTTTGCATCCGAAGAGTGATCTCGCTTTTCTTTGGGAGGGTCTCCTTAGCCTGAAAGACTGCCCACCACTGGGGTCTTTCACTAGTTCCATCCCATTTGGCGCTCAGGCACTGACAAAGCTTAGAGGGTGATCCGTCTTCTGTTAGAAAAACCTATAGTAGACACCAAGCTGCTCTGGGAATGCGTCTGAGTGGTGCTTTAAGATACTTTGAGAGGGCTTAGGGAGTTGGCTTCTTGTAAAAATAATAAGCCTTCACAGTGAGAAAAGCCCACTTAGAGATTAATAAAGGAAAAACCTGGCCAGCTATTGGTAATGCCCAAAGAAGAGCAGGCCCCCAATAGAAGACTTTACTAGCTTTCCTAGGCCTTGGGTGTATTCACTTTGTTTTTTTTTTTTGTTTTTTGTTTTTTTTTTGGTTTTTCGAGACAGGGTTTCTCTGTAGCTTTGGAGCCTGTCCTGGAACTAGCTCTGTAGACCAGGCTGGTCTCGAACTCACAGAGATCCGCCTGCCTCTGCCTCCCAAGTGCTGGGATTAAAGGCGTGCGCCACCACCGCCCGGCCGGGTGTATTCACTTTATATTCTCTGTAATCTTTTAATTTCTTTTATGTCCAGGACCCGGTTTACACCTCGAACTGTTTAACAGATAGGAGACTGCCAAGATTGTTTGAAAGTACGCCTGTTCTGTTCTTTTTTTTTTTTTTTTTTGGATTTTAGAGACAGGGTTTCTCCGTAGCTTTTTGGTTCCTGTCCTGGAACTAGCTCTTGTAGACCAGGTAACTGGCCTCGAACTCAAAGAGATCCGCCTGCCTCTGACTTGTTCTGTTCTTTTTGAATACTTGTTACCCAGGTTCATCTTGCCCACCTGTCTGAATTATGATTTTCCTGACAGGAGCCAAGGGCACCTAATTGCAGCCCAGGACTTAATGGTGTTTGTGACCCTGCATGGCCCCCTCAAGATGCCTGTTGGAGACTTGTTCTTTGGTGGTGGACCTAATGTCTGGTGAGTCCTGGCGAACAGTAATGTACATCCTAGCATGGTAACTACTTATCTCAAACAGGCGTGGCTAGCACACTGTATCTTTGTGATGCTATGAAGGCAGCATTCCCTTAGCTAAGTTCTACTTTGTGTGACTTAATGTCTCCTAAGCAAATCTATTAATAGGTCCTTTATGACATTAATTCTGTCACTTTGAAAGTCTTCTGCGTCAGTCTTGGGATACGAATTGTTGTTGTGCAAACATGAGGACCTGTGTTCAAATCCCTAGCCCCCACATAATAGCTAGAAGTGCCATCACAGACAAGGAGATCCATGGGACTTGTTGCCAGCCAGCTTAGCAACAGGTTCAGTGAGACACTCCAGTTCAAGAGAATAATGTCCAGAGTGGAGAGCAGGATAGCCTAAATCCTCCTCTGGCCTCTATGTGCACGTGCCCTCTTCTACACACATACACACAGTTGAAAAGGAAGGTTTTGAAGATAAGCCCCATTGTGTGGTATGCTGATGTAGGGGGATTCCCAAGAGTGGGAGGTCATCCTTTGCTAGATAGTGAGTACTGACCAGGGCTCCATAGCAAAACCCTGACTCAGTCTCTCTCTCTCTCTCTCTCTCTCTCTCTCTCTCTCTCTCTCTTTCTCTCTCTCTCTCTCAAGAGTAGGAGGTCATCCTTTGCTAGATAGTGAGTACTGACCAGGGCTCCATAGCAAAACCCTGACTCAGTCTCTCTCTCTCTCTCTCTCTCTCTCTCTCTCTCTCTCTCTCACACACACACACACACACACACACACACACACACACACACACGGAGATGGAAGGAAAGGAAGGCCAAGGGAAAGATGGAGGAAACACTGGAGACTAAAATGCTATCGTGTTTCTTCCTGGTGTTATATCTGGGTACCACTTGTTGGAGGACTAAATATTACGTAAGGCCCAAAGTAGTTAATTGGTGGTCAGATCATTTTCCTGTGCAACAGAAACACCCTCTTGGAGAATGAGTCTTAACCTGGCAAGCGCTCAATTTTCCCACGGAGCCTGTAATTTCACATGGGGACATTGATGCAGGGATCAGCACCTCACAGGCCGGAATATGTGGAATACTTCTGTGCTAATTATTGGGTGTTGGAAACTGACTTCACAGCAGGGAACTGTGTACCCACCAAGCAAGCAGTCTTCTAGTGATTTGGAGTCCCCGAAACCTGCTGCTGTTAGCAAGAGAAGCAACAGGATAGCAGACAATCTCAAACTTCTCTGTGTCTGAATCATCTGGATAACTTATTAAAATACAGGTTGGAGTTCTTAGAAAAAGGCTGCACGTATGTTAAAGATTCTGGAAGGTTCATTGGTTAGAACTTCTGTGCTTTCTGGAGAGCGGGAGTAGTGCAGATCTGGAGCCAAATTATCCCAGGCTATTTTAGCCTTTTATTCTTTGTTTTGGATTTGGTTTTCTTCAAAACAGGGTTTCTCTGTGTAGTCCTCACTGTTTTGGAACTCTCTTTGTAGACCAGGCTGGCTTTAAACTCTGCCCACCTCTGCCTGCCAAGTGCTGGGATTAAAGATGGGTGTCACCACACCCTGCTTTTAGCCTCATTAATAGCTATTTATTGTCCATGTCTGTGCTTAGCCTAACAGCTTTGTGACGTTTAGGTAAAAATCCCTTTAGGCTTTCCTAACAGACCACTTGTTATGGATTTGCTGTGGGTCCCCACAAACCAAGGTGGCTGGTCCCCTGGGCATCCCTGGCGGCTAGCCATGTGGGCGGTGGGTGGGCAAGGGCCAGACAGATATGCACACCATGCAGATGGGTTTGCTGCAAGCTGCCCGGGGTCCCAAGCAGGGATTGCGCAGGAGACCACGTGGCAGGCTCCATGTGACTGCAGGGGGCAGGCTAGAGAGACAGATAAACATACCATACAGAATAAAGTTAGACATTTATTAGATGGGTTATGGAGGGGAAGGAAAAGGGGGGAAGGGGGAGAGAGAGAGAGAAAGAAAGAGGAGAAGAGGAGAGAGACAGGGGCGGGGGAAGCAGAGAAATGGGGAGAGAGGCAAAAGCTGCCTCTTGAGACAGGGACAGGAAGAGAGCAGAGTAGGACAGAGGCTGCTAGGAGGAAGGGAGTGGGCGTGGCTTGTCTCTTAAAGAGCCAGAATATTACACCACTAGCTCCCACCAGTTCAAAGCCTAATGATGTCATCACATAGTGTTCGAAGCGTATAATAGATTTCTCCACCTTGCTTTAGCCTGTCTACCTGAAAATTGCCTTGCTCTGTGACTTTCAGCTGTTTTATCATTATAACTTCATAACCTGTCGTCATGTTGGAACATGATATTCAGGGCAACCTGAGCCTATGCTCCTGGGTCATGGTCACTCAAACTTGGCTCCAGGACAAACTGTCTCTTACTCCCCTTGACACAAGTCTTGTAGTTTTGCCTTGACACTGATTTCCATTCATAGAGTTCCTTTCTGCTGTCCTGTGATAGGCCCTGAATTTAATGTGCAAATACCGTGGGGTAATATGTTGGTTTGTGGGCTATAACTAGAGCACTGTTGGTCTGAATAGAGAGGACATAAGAAAAACATTTTGTTTGTTTGTTTTTTGAGATAGGCTTTCTCTGTATAACAGCTCTGACTGTCCTGTAACTCACTCTGTAGACCAGGCTGGCCCAAACTCCCAGAGATCTGCCTGTCTGTGCCTCCCTTGTGCTGGGATTAAGGCATGCACCACCACCACTTGGCTGACATAAGAATACTAAACTAGAAGTCTGTGGATATAGCTCAGTTGATAGAGAACTTGTTTAATCTGCAGAAAGCCCTGAGTATTCCCATTGCCAGAACTGTGTTAACTGAGGGCACTCGGGAGATGGAGACAGGGCGGGACTGCATGAAACCCTGTCTCAGAACAAAAATAAAAGTAGAGCCCCGGGCCATAAGAATTTGTTCTGAGACGAATGTATGCCCACACTAAGAAGTAAAGAAAGGAGCTGGAGAGAGGACTCAGCAGTTTTGAGCACTCGTTGCTCTCGAAGAGCACTAAGTAGGATTCCCAGCTCCCACATACTTCCGTACAGCCACCTGTAACTCCAGTTCTGACCTTGGTGGGGACCAGGCATGCCCAGACAGGCTTTTTCACTCTAGCATGGAATTTCATGGAGGACTCCAATTCCTGGGGTGTTTTGCAAAATTGCAACTGTAAGAAAGACTAACTCATGCTCAGTGGTCAGTTCTGAACTAAATCATGGGTATGAAATTAGGTTTTTGTTTGTTTGCTTAGCTGCTTTTATTAATTTTTATTTTTTACATACTGAATAGAAAATATATTGTAGATTTTAGTTGTGTTATTTTATCAATAGCTAGTGGTCGAAAGAGACATTTGGATTTATGCATACAACTTTGAATAAGTTAAGATAATATGACAATCACCGGAAATACTGTTTTTGTAGTGGGAACATTTGTAATATACTGTTAGCAGTTTTGAAATGCATAGTATGTTGTTAAGCATAGTTTCCAAGCTAAGCAATAGGTTCCAAAACTTACTCCTCCTATATCTGAATCTTCCCACATTCTTTTTCAACACAGGGTTCTCTGTGTAACAGTCCTAGCTGTCCTGGAACCAGCTCTTATAGACCAGGCTGGCCTCGAACTCTCAGAGATCCACTTGCCTCTGCCTCCTGAGTGCTGGGATTAAAAGTGTGTGCCACCACCTGGCTGTCTTCCTACATTTTGACTACCATCTTCCTATTTTTTATCACTCTTCAGTAAAAGGTTTTGGTTTTTTCTTTGTTTACTTGCTCTTATTATTATTATTATTTCTTTTACAAATAAATGTCACCACCATCTTCATCTGTTTCCAAGAACATGATAGTTTTTAGATTCCTCAAATATTATGCAAAATTTGCCACACTCTCTGCTTTCAAAGATACATGTGTTTGTATGTGTGTGTAAAAGAGAGAGAAGCAGAGATAAGGGATATATGCAGATGCCTACAGAGGTCAGAAGAGGTATTGGATCCCCTGGAGCTGGAGTTATATGTGGTTGTGAGCCACCTGCTATGGGTGGTAGGAACTGAACTCTGGTCCTCTAAAGAGCAGCAGGTGCTACTAACTCCTGTGGCACCTCTGCCAACCCAGTATTTATTGCTCTTTAAACACCTGTCACATTTCATATGAGGTTTCATCTGCATTGCTGAAAGGGAGAGAACTTTTTATAAGGAGAAAAGTGTTTTATTCTGTAGATGTGCCCTGTTGTAGTATGAGCGGCGGGCCACTTCCCGCCACCTGACTAGCTTTACCCGAAATAATTACACGGAAACTGTATTCTTTTAAACACTGCCTGACCCATTAGTTCCAGTCTCTTATTGGCTAGCTCTTACATCTCGATTAACCCATTTTTAATAATGTGTGTAGCCCACGAGGTGGCTTACCAGGGAAGATCTTAACCTGCGTCTGTGTTGGGTGGGAGAATCATGGCGACTGACTGAATCTGCTTCTTTCTCCCAACATTCTGTTCTGTTTACTCCGCCTACCTAATTTTCTGTCCTGTCAAAGGACCAAGGCAGTCTCTTTATATAACCAATGAAATCAACACAAAACAGAAGACTCTCCCCCATCAGTGCCCTATTTGCTTTAACCATCTGTTAGTGGACACTGATGTTGCCTAATGTGGTTATTGTCACTAATACAGCAATGGATATAGGCTGCATGTATCTCTTCCTTATACTGATTTCAAATTTGAGTGTACAAAAAGTGGGGTTGAGGAGCAGTTAGTGGTGGAACACTTACCTAACAGTGAAAGATCCTTGGTGTGATCCTTTGCAGCCCCCCAAATTTAGGTTTGAAGCATTATAGGTTCTTCTGTTTTTAATTTCTAGGAAGTGCATGTAGTTTTCCATAACGACACTACAAATTTACATCGTCACTAATAATACATGTTCCCCTTCTCCATATCTTTCCCAACAGTCAACTTTTTATGTACTAATTTCTTTTATTTATTGTGTGCATATGTGTGTGTGTGTGTGTGTGTGTGTGTGTGTGTATACTGTGTGCCATAGGAGCCATTGAGAGGTCAGAAGACGACTTGCAGTAGTTGGGGCTCTCTTTCCACTGGGGGTCCCGAGGATTGAACTCGGGTTGTCAGGCTCGGTGGTAGATACCTTTACTCTCTGAGCCGTCTCAGCAGCCCTTTTGTGGTATTGCTAAAAGCCAGGGTCTTGGGATGCAGGCAACTCCATCATTGTGCTGCAGCTCTAGCCTCTCCTCCTTTTGACGCTAGCCATGCCAACACATGGACACAAACAAGCACAACCCTTCATTTGGGTATGTATTTACTATGATTGGAGAAATCACCCCACTTTCAACCATGTAAGCAAGCTCCTTGGCTCTCCTGGCGAGTCAGCTTGGGAGACAGTCTCCTGGCCTGCTTCCCCAGGTGCTGTAACGTTAGAGCTAATAAAAAGCTTTCCCTAAGGGGTTATTTATATTCTGCTTAGAGTAACATGGTGTTATGGGTTATTTGTACACTGTGTGATGATGTATTGCTGTGATTGGTATAATAAAAAGCTGAGTGTCTAATAGCTACGCAAGAGATATAGGTGGGACTTCTGGGAAGAGAGAGAGAGCTCTGGGAAGAAGAAAGGCAGATTCACCAGCCAGACTTGGACATGCAGTATGGATGAGAATTATGAGCCACGTGGCAGAGTGTAGATTAGAAATATGGGTTAATTAAGTTATAAGAACTAGTTAGAAAAAAAAACTAAGCTAAGGCCAAGCTTTCATAATTAATAAGAAGTATCCGTGTCATTATTTAGGAGCTGGTGGCCCAAGGAAAAATCCAACTCTGCACTGGTAACACGGAAGAAGCAGCAGAGTCACAGCCTCGGGAACAGCTCGTCCAGAAGCTGGTGCTGTCAGTGGCAAGGCTGCCCGCCGCTGGATAGCTGAAGACGCAGGCCTGTGAGGTTAGCAGGCCAAGGTACAAAAGTGTCAAGGCTCCCTCACAGACAAAGGGTGGGCTGCTTAGACGTCTGAAAACGCAGGGAAATGTGGGTTGTGGAAGTAGGAAGGGCAGGGAGCTGAGGCTGAAGACAGGTAGAAGAACGCTGTAAAGATTCAGAGAAAAACCGAAGGCGCTGGTTGCTAGAAGAGTTCCAGCGAGCTGTCAAACCCCAGACACCCTAAGCCTCAAACTGGAACACTGGCCAGTGTCAAGGTCTAAGTCATGCTGATACATAGGCCAGCTGAAAAGCTATAGTACAAGCTGCTGCCCAGTGCTTTCCAGCTCTAAACAAAAGCAGTACCACTTGCGGAGCCGAGGGTCCTGTCCTGATAGCCTGTGTCTTTAATATTAGTCACAGCAGTCCCTAGCTAGACCACCAGGGGGAGCGCTTCTCCTGGACAATGTGGTAATAATCCTGAGCCATTTAGATAGAGTTCACTGCAAGTCAAAAATTCTGGCGAGTTTGCTTTATCTTCTTACATCTATATCTCTTTGGGACACTGGTTAATCAAAATAAGTTCAAATTATTACCACTGCTAATGCTGATTCACTTTTGTAGTTTTCTTACCTTTTTGTTTTGAGAGGCCTTGCTATTTGGATCAGGCTGGCCTGGAACTTGTTATGTACTCCTAGCTATTCCGGAATTCATGAACCTATTGCCTCAGCCTCATGAGTGCCGGACTGGCTGGACATGTTATCACACCAGGCTGTGGTGAGCTCTGATTATGAGCACTCCTTCAGATGTTCATTTCCCTTTGGTAGGCAGACATTGGTGACAGCAGTCCCTAGCTAGACCACCAGGGGGAGCGCTTCTCCCTGACAAGATAAAAAACGAACCTGAGCCATCTAGATAGAGTTCACTGCAAGTTAAAAATTCTCACGAACATTTAAAATGAAACAGATGCTGTTACTGTGGGGGACTCTTCCTTTCTTTATATTTTCAGGATCCCCAAGGAATCCAATGGCCAGGTGAGGAAGCAGGCATAGATGCTGAAGAAGCCACAGAGTTCTATGACTCCTGGAACCAGAATTCATCTCGATTGGAAAATGAAAAAAAAACAAAGATCATCTTAATTGTTTTTTGATGAATGACTGTGGATTGTGTGATAATTTTGACAAATATTACCTGATTCTCTGCCATTATGTTTTAGCATCCAATAATACTCTAAGCAAACTCAATCTTTCCTATTCTCAGTTAAGATGAAGGTGAACTATTTCTACATAGTAGTTTTTCTATGTAACTGGAACAGAGAAGCAAAAAGTGCCATGCACAATTTTCTGTACACTATTTCAGTTCAATGACATATTTTCATTGGCTCGATTATTTTTTGCATATTTCCTTTAAAAGATCTCATTTTCTACTTCTTTAAATAAATAAAGCAAATGATTTGAGAAAGTAAAAAAAATTCTCACGAGTTTGCTTTATTTCTTCACATAGACAATCTGTGGTAATAATCTGAACTGATTTTGGTAATTAACCAGTGCCACAGGAAGATATATATCAGTATCATGGGCAATTCTTCATATGTTTATTGGCTACATATATGTATTCCTTTATTCAAGAATTGTCTGTTGAGAGCTATTCACTTGAAAACTGGGTCATTTGTTATCCTGCAACTGCGTTGTTTTTTTTTTCACTCTTGCTTTTTTCAGACAGGGTTTCTTTTTGTAACAGCCCTGGTGTCCTGGAACTTAGAGAGACCCACCTGCCTCTGTCTCCCGAGTGCTGGGATAAAGGCGTGCACCACCACTGCCCTGTGCAACTGGGTTCTTTATAGATTTTCCGCACCGGTCTCTTAGGTGATGTATGGCTTCCTCCTGACCCAGATGTCTTTTTATCCTGCTTTGCTGTGCTCTAGGGTTGTTCCTTTGCTGTACTCCCATTTCTCTCTGCGACTTCTTGGTCAGCTTATTGGTTTTTTGGTTTTGTTTTTATTAAATCCTCCCCCTAAAATAATGTCATGCTTTTCTCCAACCATTTTAGGTCTCTTTTTTCAGTTCCTGATACTTATTTGACTGTACTAGAGTGGAATTGTTTGTGATGTCCTTGTGTATGCTTGGGTGGTGGAACAAAGCTGGTCTTCTTAGATGAAACAGAGGACTTTTCCTTCAGGTTTGCCTGTACCAGACAAGTTTAAGATGAGCAATTTTCCATTTTCAATTAAAATCCCTTTCCGGGTTGTCATTTACAGTGGGACTCGTTCCCATCAACAACATGAAATTTCTAATTTCGGGTAAATTATGTAGGAAAATAAATTTGTGACAGACTAATTGACAGAAAGGTTAATTATAAAAAGAAAGAATGGAGAAGTTTGGTAGGCAGTGTTTTTCCTACCTACAGTAAACTCTCTCAGAAGATAGAATCATTTTTTTTTAACTCAGGGACACAGAATCAGAAATGCAATTGCAGCTGATCTTTATTTGGCATCTCCTTTCACAGATTGGCCTTCACCAGTTTCCTAGAAGGAGGCAGTGCACAATTACACCAGCCCCTGGAACCTTCCCACCAGGGGACATTTTCATTAATCGTAGACTTCCATCGGCTCCCTGCCAAATCTCTCCCCAGACAGATGGCGAAACAAATGAAACTCAGCCCCAAACACACCGATACACCAAAAACAAGCAAAGCAAAACAGCAACAACAGAAGAACATAAACCAGAACATCCAGACTGGCCTACGTACCTGTTCTACCTCTGTCTATGGAGCAGGAAAATGCTAAGATTGAAGCCATGCCTCAAGAACTGAGAACCTCCCCGGAAATGCCAGGTTGGGAGTGAAAAAGGCCCTGGTAGAAGAGCGCTGGTATTCGGCACTAGGAGAAGTATGGATATTTTCCTCTTCAGGTAACTAGAGGCCCCTGGGCTAAATCTTCACTTGCATAGTTCCCGATGTTTGCTTCATCTTTTTTTTTCAGGTAATATATTTAATTTAGGGTCTCATACCTGCTATGTAACCACTCTACCACAAAGTTGTAGTGGTATGGTAAACCAACTATGGTTTAATCTCTTCTGTAAGTTGTAGCACTAAGGGCAAGGCAGAGAAATTGAGAATTTCTTTCTCCTCAGCTTTGGTCAAAATTCCAAATAAATTAATTTGCTTGTTTTACATAGATTGATTTTTTTTATTAATACAAGCAAGCATTTGGCCCCAAAGCCAGGCTTTATAGCTGAATGCATCATCTGGATGGACAGTAGCTTGGAGGGTTTAGATTCTAGTGTGTGGAATAAGCAGTCAGCAAGACAGGCAGGCAGGCACGCACATGCACGTGCACACGCACACATTTGAAAAGCGAGTGATTTCCCACGATGAGTGATTGTCCTTTTCCTCTGACATTGATCTCCTCTCTCTGCCCTAGTCCTTGGCCTAGTGCACACCTACTCCCATAGACTGTGTGAGGAGATAAAGCAAACTTGGGGCAAGTTTTGACTTTGCAACGCTTTCTTCTGAAAGTAACTGTCAGGTAGGAATGATTGATTCTTACAGAAACATATGTCTCAGGGCACACATCTGTCATGACATTCGGCTCTTCAATTTTCTTTAGTCACGGTGCTTATTTGCTAGAAGTATATTTACTAGAAGTTAGTTACAAGGGAGTGTCTGCTTATTTTATCATTATTTGTGAGGAAAATATAATAAAATAAAAGTTCCTATAGCGAGTATGGGAGTTTCATTCCTTTAATGTGGTAGGATTCAGATAGTGTGTGTGTGTGTGTGTGTGTGTGTGTCTGTGTGTCTGTGTGTGTGTGTGTGTGTTGGATATAAGATCTTTCAGTGTAGCCCAGGCTGTCCCGAACTCACTATATTCCTGCTTCTGCCTCCCCTGTGCTGAAATTATAGGCATGTGCCACCATACTTGATTTTAGTTTCCTTTTATTTTATAATTTGTATTTATCAATAGCTTTTGTGGGTACATCATCATTTCTGTTAATAAGAAGGTTCCTAGTGCTGTTGTTGGAATTGTTTCGTTAATGAGCACTCAAAGATATCGGCTATAGAGTGCCACTACCAATTGACCTCGCCATGATGGGCCACAGTGGCTCTTGTTTCATTCATTGTAAAAGTCCGTGTCAGTTTCTAAGCTTACAGAGATTTACACTTGTACTTCCTTCTTTTCCAGGTAGATATCCCGTGCTGGCAGCATCTAGTTTCCACAGCTTATAAGGTTTTCAAGAGTGACCAGGAGATTGGAGTATTGGACTAAGGAATGGTAAAAGGCCATAAAGATCGGTGCTTTTTTAAAAATGGTTTTCTTGATTATTAGATTATTTTAATATTTTCCAGAACATTGAAAATGTTGATTTCAACACTTTTGCTAGTATTGTGACTGCTGAATGTGTGTCTGTGTGTGCACCCGTGTGTGTGTGTGCGTGTATACACGTGCGCACGCACACAGTACTGAAAATTGGCTCAGCCCATAGTGCTTGCTTGGCAAGTGCTTCATTAGCAACATACACCTCCAGCTCAGTCATTGCTGTTTGGGGAGGTTGTTATTCTGCCATTCAGAAAGTTCCTATGCATAGGTTTTATTCTATTTAGGGTGCAGTCAATCTCTGCATGCAATAATAATCTTGCTTTGCGTAGATGTTTGAGTCAGAACTTCTTAGCAGTAGTAAGGATTTATTTATTTATTTTTTTTAACTTTTTTTTTATTGAGAAAAGAAAAAAAATTTCCTCCTCCTCCCAGCCTCCCATTTCCCTCCCCCTCCTCCCACCCTTCTCCCCCTCCCCCACTCCTCTCCCCCTCCCTCTCCAGCCCAAAGAGCAGTCAGATTTCCCTGCCCTGTGGTAAGTCCTAGGTCCTCCCCCCTCCGTGCATTTCTAGGAAGGTGAACATCCAAACTGGCTAGGCTCCCACAAAGCCAGCACATTACGTAGGTTCAAAACCCCGTGCCATTGTCCTTGGGTTCTCATCAGCCCTCATTGTTCGCCATGCTCAGAGAGTCCAGTTTTATCCCATGCTTTTTCAGTCACAGTTCAGCTGGCCTTGGTGAGCTCCCAATAGATCAGCACCACTGTCTCAGTGGGTGGGTGCTCCCCTCGTGGTCCCGACTTCTTTGCTCATGTTCTCCCTCCTTCTGCTCCTCATCAGGACCTTGGGAGCTCAGTCCAGTGCTCCAGTGTGGGTCTCTGTCTCTGTCTCCATCCATCACCAGATGAAGGTTCTATGATGATATGCAAGATATTCGTCAGTATTGCTCTAGGATAGGGTCATTTCAGGTTCCCCATCCTCAGCTGCCCAAGGAACTAACTGGGGACCTCGGCTTGGGTATCTGGGAGCCACTCTAGGTTCAAGTCTCTTGCCAACCCTAAGGTGGCTCCCTTAACTAAGAACCGTGCTTCCGTGCTCCCCCATAGTAGTAAGGATTTAAACTGATAAAAATGAACAGTATGGCTTCTTGTGTCTGGAAATGCTACAGTACTGTCGTAGAGCAGCAGTTGAATTGTGTTCATGAGCAGGCTACAGGATGAGTATCATTGGCACTGAATGGGTCCATGAGGGTTTTGCTTTTAACAGATAATTTCTTTTTCCATGGATATGGAATAATAGCTAAGCCATTCCACAAACCCCATAAATAAAGAATTTCAACCCTCAATTATAAGTACCATTTTTGATCCTCAGAAAAACTCTGTAAGATATGAGGAAGTATATGATTACCTTTAAAAGCCTCACTTAACATTTCACTCAGAGGCTTTATGCCCTGTCCAGATTTTTAACAACTAGAGTTCTCAGAACACAATGTATAAAGCAACTCAATGCAATAATGCCAAGTAGCCACCAGGTGGCGAAATTGCTTACGGATTTAAGCAGCATAGGCTAAGAAGGGCCTTCTTCCAGCCTAGAGGCCATATTTGTGCCTACATCAGGTTTTCTGTCCTGGCTACAGAGATTCTAATGGTGATTTTATTTCTTTGTTTTCCGTTTGTTTTAGAATACTTCCATTCCTGTCTGAGACTGCTTTGGGAGCCCTGTGGTGCTGTACCTGCTGTGACATTACCAGGTAGAAGAGAAATGCGGTGCAAGGGATAGTTCTTCAGCTGTTGAGATTCTAGTTCCCACACCACTGGTCCTCCCTGGATTTGCCACCAGAGGGCTGGATGTTTACATCCTTTAGGATGGGGAGAAAAAGCAAAACTAACAGTTTTGAGACATTAGATGTTCTAATCAAAAATATATTGTAATTTAGCTAAATTGCTATGAAAATATGAGGCCCTGAAAGATCAATTTGTTGTTTTGTCTATCAGTTTGATTTAGCAATGATTTACTAGGCATTGCCGGCATTGTTTCAAGTATGACTCCCCTAACTCCACAGCCTTGTGCAATTTTTCAGGCACCTTCATGGTGACATTCATTTTAGAATACTTTCTTCCACACCTCTAGAAGATCAGGAAGTTGAAAATGGCAGTACTGATAGGAAACCTAAAATCCAATCAGATATCTGGCCCACGTTCAGACTTACTTGGTTGTGTTATTTAAATCACAATCCAGACAAAGTTTATACATTGGATTCACTTGAAGTGTGCACTGTGAGACATTTTATGTACAGGGAAGCTCAGGAGCAGAGAAGAGCATATGGTCAGGATTCAGGGAAAATTCTCTGCTGAATCAGTCCTGTTGGGGTTACATATTTTAGGAAGCCATAGTCTTTGTCCTCAAGGAGTTCTGTCTTCTGTTCCTATAACGCTCTATGAGTATATCCATCACAAGCCTTACATTATTAGTTTTTCTGCATCTGCCTCAGTTAAAGGCGGGGAGCATTTTGTCTTCAATATTGCATTTGTTATACACAGCTCAGTTACTGGTACGCAGTAGGAAGCGGTGTCCTTTGTCTAACTTTGCATTGGGAACCAATGAGATTTTTATAGCATGGCTGTGCCTTGATAAGGTTTTCATTGGAGGTAGATAAAGGTTGCTAGTTGTTTTGGAAACATGGACGATTGGAAGCAGGGAGGAGTCTATTGCAGAGTTCATGCTAGAGAGGGTGAAGATGAGAACTAGGGTGAAGACAGTAGGTATGAAGAAAAGACGAATGGAGAGTTGCTGAGAAGGCAAGTTAGCACGATTTGGGAACCTTTCCTTTGTGGAGAATGAAGAGCTTCAGGCTTGGGGAACAGTGATGCCCCTTGAAGATTCAGAGCAAAATGGTGAAGCTGGTTTGAGGGAGGGGAGATCGATTCAGTTTTGACCATGCTGAGGTTGAGGTGACTGCTAGGAATTTGCCGTCTGTCAGGATTTGGGAGGTCAAAATGTAAGAGAGAAGTCAGGAGTTAAAACCAGAGAGTCCTAAGTACATAGGTGCTTAAAATTAGATGCCATCCTTCACGGACAGAATATGTAGTGAAACAGGAAGGGAAACGTTAAGAAATCCTTACAGATTTTAGCAAGTAATTAAAAAATGATAAACTCTGGAGGAAGATAGGAAAGGAATAGCTACAGAGATTAGAGGAAACCAAGCAGCCAAAGGAGCAGAGACTTGAGGAAGGCCTGACCAGGAGCACCTTATACGCAGCTAGGGGCGATGGTGAGGAAAAGTGCCACGTGGCTGAGATGTACAGTGTGTTGGCAGGAGGTGGGCCCAGAAAGACTAGTTAGGTCCTTGTACTGTCTGCTTGCGTGTGTCAACTTGACCTCATCTAGAGTCATCAAAGAGGAAGGTGCCTCAGTTGAGAAAATGCCCCAGTGAGATCCAGTTGTAAGGCATTTTCTCAATTAGTGATCAATAGGAGAGGGCCGAGCCTGTGGTAGGTGCTGCCATTCCTGGACTGGGTTCTGTAAGAAAGCAGGCTGAGCAAGCCATGTGAATCAAGCAAATAAACAGCACCCCTCCATGACCTCTGCATCAGCTCCTGCCTCTGGGTTCCTCTCCTGTTTGAGTTCCTGTCCTGGCTTCTTTCGATTATGAACAGAAATATAGAAGTCTAAGTCAAATAAAACCTTTCATGCCCAACTTGCTTTTTGGTCATGGTATTTTGTTTCAGCTGTAAACCCTAACTAAGACAGTCCTGGTCCTAAAGGAGCTTGGTTATCAGGCCAGAGGACTCTGAACTTTTGTAAATGATGGAGAGTTATCAATAATTTTCAGATAAGAAGGACCTGTTCAAGCCGGGCGGTGGTGGCGCACGCCTTTAATCCCTGCACTTGGGAGGCAGAGGCAGGTGGATCTCTGTGAGTTCGAGACCAGCTTGGTCTACAAGAGCTAGTTCCAGGACAGGCTCCAAAACAAAACAAAAAAAAAGGACCTGTTCAGAGCAAGGGTTACAAAGATCAAGCTGGGGCAGCATAGGGACTCCTATGGAGGAATGGGACTGGAGACAGAAACCCATCAAAATGAAGTGAAGGGGCAATTAAGTTGTGGGGAACAGTACCATCTTTGAAGATCCTTAGCAGATGAAATTGTAAGCCCTAAAAGCAGTAGGAACACTCTGAACCATAGAGTAAGCATTATTAATAACCATTTGAGTTATCTTGTTAAGTCCTCACAGCAAGCCTGAGATAGATAAGCATCATTAATGTCATTTCATGCATGATAAAACAGGAACATAGATATAAAGACATTTGCTGAACAGAATTGGTAATTGGAAGAACCTATTTTCCAAACTCCTGGTGGTTTGGCTAACCATCACCTTCCCCCCGCTCCCCTCCGTAGATTAAACCTATGGCTTTCCACAAGCACTCTACTACTAACCATACCTAAATGATCCCATTACCTACCAAAGGCTGACCTCGAACCTAAGCAGGTCTTCAGCTTGCTCTCCTCCTGCCTCAGCCCTCCAAGTAGCTGAAATCACAGGCCTGTACTCCCAGGCCTGGCTCTAACATCCATTCTTAAGGATTTCATTGTTTTTTTTTAAATTAGAAAACATGTGTTGTGGTACATTGGCCCCTAAACACTACTGCAGTGGTACCCAGTGGTGTTGGCATCAGCTGCCAGTGACAGTCAGAGTGTGGTGGTCATTCTTACCAGCGGTCTGCCAAGTGGGAAAGCACAAAGGGAACATCTTCAGTCCTGGGTGTGTCCTGGGTGGTCATTGGAGCTTACACAAATAAATGCTCAAAATACACGTGGAAGACATGGATTTAGTGCTACAGCACCCTGAATAAGTAGCCCCTGAGGAGTGTTGCCACACTTCTGCTGTTGTTGACAACAGGTTTTTTTTCTGCTTTAGATGTCAGTTAATTGAACTTCTTTTAAATAATGTGGTTCTCTTCTCTGCTTTCACACATGTGACAGCGTTTACAGCAGAACTTAACAGCGGAGTTCATTGGTGACCCTTTTTTTAATTGATATTTATTGAGCTCTCCATTTTTCTCTGCTCCCCTCCCTTCCTCTCTCCTCCCCCCTTCCATCCTCCCCCAAGGTCCCCATGATCCCAGTTTACTCAGGAGATCTTGTCTTTTTCTACTTTGTACTTCCCATGTAGATTATATCTATGGAAGTCTCTCTTAGTGTCCTCATTGCTGTCTAAGATCTCTGGGATTGTGGTTTGTAGGCTGGCTTTCTTTGCTTTATGTTTAAAATCCACCTATGAGTGAGTACATGTGACATTTGTCTTCCTGTGTCTGGGTTACCTCACTCAAAACAATGTTTTCTAGCTCCATCCATTTCCTGCAAAATTCAAGCTGTCGTTATTTTTTTCTGTTGTGTAGTACTCCATTGTGTAAATGAACCACATTTTTCTTATCCATTCTTTGGTTGAGGGGCATTTAGGTTGTTTGCAGGTTCTGACTATGACAGACAAAGCTGCCATGAACATAGTTGAGCACATAAGGACTTCATTGTTTTGCTTGATTAGCTGTGGGAAATGAAAATGGCAAGAGTTAGCAGGCTCAGGTGGGAGTTTCCAGACATCCAAATAATCACAGTGGGTTGAACAGGATTGTACTTCTTATTCCTAATGGTCCTCAGCATCCTAGAGACAACTGCAGCCTGCAAATTCATACTGTATGCATGAAAATGCAAGATGGAGACAAAGAACAGATATCAGGGGTGGGGGTAGCTAGCTATCTCTGTTGTAAAAGACAATCCAGGACTGACATTATCTGGATGATTGCCTGGAGTATGTACTTACTCACAATTAAAGTTGACAACACAGGACGCCAGTTAGACTCCATTTTTTTTGCTGTATTTTATTGATGTGGAGGTCAGAGTACATCTTGTGGAAGTTGGTGATTCCTTTTACCATTGCAGTTGTCTCTTTCCTTCCACCGTGTGGTCAGGCTTGGAGTAGTTACCTCTACCCACTGAGCTATCTCAGGGACTAGAAATCAGTTGTTCTGTTTGTTGTCCTGCCATTTTTCTCTCCAGCCATGCAGTTCTAGTGGGGTCTTCCATTCACAATCTTACCTCCCAAGCCACGGTGGATTTGATTGCTTAATGTATGGCTATGTGACCTAGGTCAAATGGGCAGTCAGAATTCTTCTTTTTCATTGTTTTTCTCTGGTTTAACTGGGGAGAAATAGTGTGTTCCAGTGTTATATTGTAATCTAAGTAATCTCTACCTCTCTCTCTCTCTCTCTCTCTCTCTCTCGCGCGCACACACACACACACACACACACACACACACACACACACACACAAGGCTGCTGTAGCTCTGGCTAGGTTTGCTGTGCCCACTCTTCTAAATATTTAAGCAGCTGCCCACATCTACAGGCTGGTCATATTTATGTTGTTGTTGCAGGATTACTGTTCACTATTCGAATGAGCATATTTTCCTTTCTGTCATTTGGCATAGTTACAAAGCTGCTTAAAAACCCTTATCTGACCAATGGGGCAGCCTGGGTTCTTGTGGCCTGGGCTGCCTGAAGCATCCTCATGCAGGTACTGGGCGGTTGGGTGGCAATATGATGAGCAAGTATATGGTGGAGAAACGAGAGAGAAAGAGCAGAGTGGTTCATGTGCTATGGTAAGAGGCAGGTCTGAAGAGGGAGGGCAGTGAGGAATGAGCTGATGTTGGCAGCCTCCTTGCCACCTGGGACCAGGGTGATGCCCAGGCCTGAGTTGATGCCTACAGCCATATCTGCTTCTCTTACAGCCAGGGTCCATGTTGATGTTCATGACCCATGTTGCCACCAAAGCCATGGGGATGCCTGGGGTGTGGGATACCATCTGTAGCCATTTTGACGTCCAAGGGCTATGCTGCTACCGTGACCACATTGATCTGTGTAGTCTGTGCTACCACTGGGAGGCACGATGACATCTGGGCCTGGGCTGCTGCTGGGGGGTGTGTGTCCATGTCTATGACACTGTAACACCCAGGGTCTGTGTTAATGTCTATGGCTTTAGTAACCACTAAAGGCTGGGGAGATGACTGGGATCTGGTCAAACATGCAAGTCCATATTGGTCTTCTAGGGCCACGCTTACATTGGGGCCTGTGCTGCCACCCTGGACCATGGTGACATCCAGGCCCAGGCTGTGATGAAGGGCCATGTTTGGGTTTGTGGCATTCCTACAGCCAGGGTCTGTGTTGATATC